GTGGAACAAAATTTAACTGAGGGAGCCCCCTGGATTTCCAGGCCGTTGGTTGGTCCCGCATCATTCTGTTATGTGGGGCCTGTGTATCAGGGTTGGGGAAGTTGGCGAGGAGTTAATGATATAATAACATAGTTTATTGAACTTTGGCCATGAGCCAGGATTTGTTCTCAGCGATTTACACTAACTCACATATTTATGTCCTCACTGCTACCCTGTGAGGTAGTTACAGTTATACCCACTGTGCGGATGATGAAACTGGCTTAGAAAGTGGAGGACTTGACATCCACTGACAGGATGAGTCCAGCCCCATGCCTCCCCTCCTTCAGGGGTAAGGGTGGGAACTTGGACTCTGCCTGGGGTCCCTGCACTCGGGGAGACCCCACCTCCCTCCCCTCAGTCCCCACCCATCACCTGCTCCAGACCAGCGGATAATCTGGTCCTATTCTTTACCCCGTTTACATCTATCACTACAAGACCCCTGGACTTGAGGCTCTTTCTGCTTTAAGTCAGAAAATTTTAACTTGGCTTCTTGAAATTGTGGTCAGCAAGAATGGAAAAGAATGCTGGCGACTGTTTAGGCTGCAGAATGAAACACTTGCACAAAAGTAAAACAAGCTAAAGCATCTATTAAAGTCATATAAAAGCGAGTGCAGCTCCCCCCCGCCCCCACGCTGTAGAGCCACAATAGAGTCTATGCCTTGAAGTGGTTGCACACATGGTTACAACTAGTAAGGGACACAGGAAGAGATAGATTTATAAACATACAGGAAGGGGCAGGTAAAGAAGGGGGAGGAGCCCAGGAGTCTCAATTCATTTTTGATATTTGGTGGGAAAGCCCTTGATCAGATCAGGCGTTGAGTGCTTTTGTCTTTTTGCAGATGTTCTCCCTTCCTCAGAAGGAATCCAGGACACCTACCACCTGTCCGGGTTCAGTCTCCACACGAGGCCTGCATAGTATCTATGGGGATGGTCTGGAAAGAGAAGCCTCCAGAAAACCAGACCAGAAGCTGCTCTATGGCGTGGGTGATCCCACTGCCATGTTCTCCTCCGACAGTCCCCACTTGTCCTCTAGAGGAAGCATCATTAAATGGTTCTGGGATTCAGCTGAGCAGGGCTACCGGACCTACCACATGGATGAGTATGATGAGGATAAGAACCCTGGCGTGAGTGAAGCCCCTATCCCCACTGGGACCCAAGGGAGCACTGCGGTTGGTGGTGGCGATGGGGGGTGGTGTGTGCCCTACCTTGACCAGTAATAGGGCGGCACCCAGCTTGCAATTGTCAGGTTGGAGTTATGGTCCTCTGACCTCCAAGAGGACATCTGATGGAGCTCAGAGAGGCCCCAGTTTATTACGTGGATCAGAAAACTACCCATTTATAATTTAGGGGACTTTGATTTGTGAGGGAGGAGTTCAAGAACCGTAGAATGCTCTTATATGGATTCTGATCCGCAGCTCGTCAGCTATCCCACTTTAGAGCTGGGACAGAACTAAGGTTCCGGTCACAGCTGTTTGGCTTTACAGGTTGTGTGTTCTTGAGCTAATTACTTAACCTCTGTAAACCTCAGTTCATTTCTGAAATGGAATGAAACCTTCTCTATAGAACTGTCACATCTAAATGAGAGCAGGTATACAAGTTATTAGTACAGTACTTCCCTGCAGAGCATTCAGTAAGTGGTCGTTGCTGTTATTATTAACGTCACCTGCCCCAATTATTACAACTTATTACTGGTAATACCTTCAGAGGGCAGAGAGTCATGAATAACCCAGTAAGAATCTTTACTTGTTGAGTGGTACCAGGGGCTGGCACTGTTCTAGGTGCCCAGGTTACAGCAGTGTACAAAAATAAAATTCCTGCCCTCATGGAAATTAGTCTAGTGGGGGAGACAGACAGTGAACAGACATAATATGTATACTATGTGGTGATAAGTGCTGTAGGGAAAAATAGAGCAGGGTTGGGGGAGGGTATAGCTCAAGTGGTAGAGTGCATACTTAGCATGCATAAGGTCCTGGGTTCAATCCTCAGTACCTCCTCTAAAAATAACTGAATAAATAAACCTCGTTACCTCCCTCCCTCCACAAATAAAAAAATTAAGAAAAAAAAGAGAGGGAGAGAAAGATAAAGTAATAGGATAGAGACTGTTGCTATTTTATGTGAGGTGGTCACAGAAGGACACTTTAATATGGTGACATTGGAGCAGAGACCTGAAAAAAGTGAGGGATTGTGTTAGCTCTTGCTGTGTAACAAAATACCTCAGATCTTAGCTGCTTTAACAAATAATTCACATTTTCTGCTGTTCAGGAATCTGGGTGGGAATTTAATCTGAAGATCTTCTGTGAAGGTGCACTGAAGTCAGGGCTGTGGTCTCATCTGAAGGCTTGGCGGGTGGGGGTGGTCTACTTCAAGCTCACTTACACAGTTGTTGGCAGGCCTTAGTCCCTCACCACATGGTCTCCTCCATCGGGCTGCCTCATGATACGGCAGCTGGCTTCCCCTAAGGCAAGCAATCCAAGAGAGAAAGAGAGAATGAGAGGTCACCCGTGCCCAAGATGGAATCCACAGACTCTTTTAACCTAATTTTGGAAGTGACAGCCCATCACTTCTGCAGATTCTGTCCATTAGAAGCAGGTCACTAGGTCTACTCACACTTAGGGAGAAGGGGTTGTACAAGGGTGTGAATACCAGGAGGTGGAGGGCACTGGGGACCAACTCAGAGCCTGGGTAGTACTGAGAGTGAGCACTGTGGGTATCTGGGGGAAGGGCATTCCTGACAGAGGGAACAGCCAATGCAAAAGCCTCAGGGCAGAACTGTACTTGATGAATTCAAGGGACAGCAAAGGGGCTGCTGGCTGGAGACCAGCATGAGGTCAGAAAGGTAATGGGGGCAGGGTGATAATAAATCTGTAACCTCAGATAGGACATGGTGAGGCTTCTGATTTTAGACTAAGTGGGATGGAAAGTGTTCAAAGGAAGAGCAATATGATCTGATTTCTCTTTTTAAAAAGGTGACTGGGACTGCTGTGTGGAGATTAGACTCTGGGAGGGTCGGGGTGAGGGAGTGAGCAGGACAGGAAGGAGGGAAGCTATTGAGATAATGTAGACAAGAAGTGCTGGCGGCTTGGGCCAGGGCCCTAGCAGTGGAGGGGGAGAAGGGGTTGGACTGTGCACGTATGCCGCTCAGGTAGGAGTGGCAGGATCTGCAGATGGACTGCTTATGGGTGGAGGATCCTATAAGTTTGCTCCCCAGGACGTGAAGGGACACTGCCTTTTATTTGTCTTAGCCTGAGCTCATTCAAGTTCTACTTTTTCATCCTTTCTCCTTCTTCATCCTTGCCAATAATTGAGGGGTCAGGAATTAGCTGTGTGTGAGTCTCTCTGGGGACTCTGTAAGGGGCAGTTTGAGTTGTGCCTTCCCCCATCCCTGGCCTATGAGAATAATGCCTTATGAGGGGGGACCGGGATGCTGTATGAGGCTGCCTGGGTCTCACCCGGGGAGTGTTTCCACCAGCACAGGGCTTCTTGCTCTGCGCTCACCCTTGTTCCTGTTCCTGCCAGAGCACCAATTTACGTGTACGTTCTTTTATCCCATAAATATGTATTGAGTCCCACTGATGCTCTTGAGAGATATAGTGTTGTCTTGGGAGTGTATCTGGCCTTCAGGGACCTCCCCATCTAGTAGGGGTGATAAATCCTGTATGTTACTCCCTGTGACCTGGGACAGAAACTGACCACTGCTCTAATAGGGTACAGATAAAGCACTTTGGGGTCCAGAAGAAGAAAAGATCCTTTGCAGGTGGAATTTTGAGGAAGGCTTCCTGGAAGAGATGGCATTTGAACAGAGCTTTAGAAATGGGAAGATGGCATCAGGGAGCTACATGGAGGGCACAGCTTGAGCAAAGGCCAGGAGGGGTGGTGGGAAGGGTGGGATCGCAGAGAGCTCTGCTCTGCTGCCTTGCGATGTTCCTCAGACCTTCACTGGCCATTTCTGCCGCGCTCACATGGCTCCATACCTCTCACCTCCAGGGCATCATTAACCTGGGCACCAGTGAGAACAAACTCTGCTTTGACCTGCTGTCCAGGAGGGTAAGTCCCGGTGCACCTCTGGGTGGCATCCCCAGCTCCGAGGGGCTGTCTTGTCTGGAATTCCCCAGAATACTTCCCCCACAAAAGCCTCCTGCTGGTCTCAGCGGCCCTGGCCCTGGAGTCAGAGACCCAGGTTCCAGATATGCCTTGGGGACCACTTCCTCTGCCCTGTTGGCCGAGTCACTTCCCTACTCTGATCCGGCTTCTTCATCTCTTCTGGCTCTTCCGCTCCTCAGTCTCTCCTGCTACCTGGGTCCCTGCTCTCAGAGAAAATAAATACTAGGTGATGTGTGGTCAGTATTTAACAACTGGCCCTGGGGATGGGTGGGCCCTGATCTGTAGCTTTTGCCAATCCCCATAGTGTAAATACCCACTATGTGGCCAGTTTCAGCCTGTGCTGTGACATCACTGCACTCAGAGCTGGGAGAGAGGTGCGGGGGCACCATAGTGCAGGGTTCCCACCATCCGGACACACAGACCAAAAGACCCTTCAGAGCTCAGATGATAGCAAGTTGGAGTAACATAAGCAGGAGCAATATTATTTGAGTACTTTCCACCTTTGTTTTTAATATAAGTTACCTATAGTTTATATAATTTAATGTTTGAAAATGGCTGGTTTTTACCAGTTTGCAAAATTCCTCAAACTTTAATAATCAGGTTTCTTTATTTTCTTTATTTTTTTAAATTGAAGGATAGTTGCTGTACAATATTATATGTTACAGGCATCTGATATAGCGGTTCACAATTTTTTAAAAGGTTATTCTCCATTTATAGTTATTATAAAATATTGGTAATACTCCCCATCTTATACAATATAGCCTTGCCCTTATTTTATACCTAATAATTTGTGCCCCTTAACCCCCTGTCCTTATGTTGCCCCCTCCCTCCCCGCCAACTCACAGACATAGAGAATACTCAGATTTCTTCAGCTGCTGTGAGCCTTCTATAGCAAAACACTGGAACTACCTGATAAATGTGTCTCTCAAGGCCTAGGAGTCAGAGCTTGGGACTAGTGAGAGCCGTTGCTTAACCCAAAGGAACAAATCTCCAAAGGGGAACGATCTAAGCTGCAAGGGGAGAGGGACATAGGGAGTGGGCTCGAAAAGCCTGTTCTTCCCAAAGCCAGTCCCCCACTCCAAGGCAGCTCAGCGCTGCCAGTAGAAATAAAATGTGAGCCATGTATAAATTTAAAAATTTTCTATAAATAAAAAGAGACTGGTGGAATTCATTTTAATAATGGATTTTATTTAGCCCAGTGTATCTAAAATATGGTCATTTCAACATGTAATCAGTATAGAAATGATTAATATTTTACATACTTCTTTCATATCAAGTCTTCAAAATCCAGTGTCTCATTCAGACTAGTCACACGTTAAGTGTCGAGTAGCCACGTGTGGCCAGCATATTGGACAGTGCAGCTCCAGTGACGAAGGGGAAAGGGAAAAGGCTGCAGTTATGACCATGTGGCTGATTCCCTTTCTTCTTTTGGTCCCACTGCCCAAAGCTCCGATCTTTCCTTGACTTTGTGCGTGAGATGCCCTGGGAGTCACTAACTCAGCCCCTGGCCAGGGTGGGGATGGTGTGGAAATGGCCACATTTTCCAAAGTATGAGGTTGAGCTGAGCCTGAAGGAAGACAATGCCCTGAGTCCCTCTAGAACTTAGAGCCAAGACAGAGGGGAGGGCACCTGAGTCTGGGACTCCATTGTCACTCATGGAGGAGCTGAATGGTGCAATCTCCTACCACTGCCTCCACAAATCCACCCCTCTGGTTTTTTGGGTGGCCATGCTGTATAAAGAGCACTAGACTAGGGGTCAAAGATTCTTTTGTCTTAGCTCTGCCACTTGCTAGTGCTGTAACATTGGCTAAGGCCTCTCACATTTTTAAGCCTCAGTTTCCTCATCTGCAAAATGGGCATGAGAATGCTGTTCCTGTGCTGCCTCTGTCTCCGATGAGCAGACCAAGCCCTTGGCTTTAGAGGCCCCGGAGCTGCGTGGATGTGGGTGACAGTGCCGGTCCCCACTGTGAGGGCATGTGGCCCTCAGCCCTGCGTTGCCCTCTCTGTCCCCAGCTGAGTCAGAGCGACATGCTGAGGGTGGAGCCGTCCCTGCTGCAGTACCCTGACTGGAGGGGACATCTGTTGTAAGTAGTTACTGTTCTCAGCCCCCGGGCAGTTTTTCTTCCCAAGAGACATATGGCAACATCTGGAGACATTTTTGGTTGTTATAACTGGGAGAGGGGTATTACTGGCTTTTATTGGGTAGAAGCCAGGAATGCTATTAAACCTCCTATAATGCCCAGGACAGTGCCCCCACCACGAAGGATTATCTGGCCCAAAACATCAGTAGTGGCAGGTTGAGAAAGCCTGGGCCAGGCTGAGGGCCTAGTCCTGAAGAGCTGGTGGGCGTGGGGTCTTCTGGAGCATCTGCAGAGAACTGGTGCCTCTGGCCCATCTGACCCCCCTTAGGAGCTCCCTGGCTTGGTTCTCTGAGTCTGAGGCACGGAGAGGGACTTCTGGTGAGGAGTCTTTGTCTCCAGTTTCTTAGTAGCTTTGGAGGAGCCAGAATCAACTTAGGGGGAGCTGGCTGAGGCCTTTGCCTGCTGGTAAGATTAAGAAACTAATAAAAGTTTGTATTTATTGAGCACCTACTAGGGTCCAGATGCTGTCCTAAGGGTTTAGTGACAGAGCAGAACTTGATTCCAAGAGTGGTTCCAAAGCACATGTTCTTCGAGTAATTAGGATGGTGGGCCCTTGAGTCAAACCACTCCAGCAAATGACCTAACGCCTTCAAGCCTCAGTTTCTTTGTCTGTACAATGGGGATAATGATAATAGTAGTTGCATCATAGGGGTTTCATGAAGATGAAATGAGGAAAATTCTCTAAATAACACCTGCATAAGGTAAATACTTAGTAAATATTAGCAGTAACTGTGATAATAGTTATTGTTATATAATTATTGTATTTTTTATTATTACTACTACTATTAGCTAGATCTGTATAAAGTGTTATTTTTGATATTCTTGAAGTCTGCTGATTAGGTGGGGTTGGGCGTCCTAGAACTACTGGAATCAAAGCGTCAATGCGAGTGCATGGTGTTGGGGCCAGGGAGAGAGGTGGGTACCATGGGGACAAATACTGATCTCATTCCCCTTGTGGGAAACAGAGAAGGGTAATGGTAGCCGCCTGAAGGTTCACCAGAGGAGCTTTGGGATGGGCGGATGGGGGCTTGGAGACCCGCTAACAAGCCCTGCCCGTGTGTCTATCTTATCTCCAGCCTCCGGGAGGAAGTGGCCAGCTTCCTGTCTTTCTACTGCAAGAGCCCTGCACCCCTTAAACCAGAGAATGTGAGTGGCCCCCTCCCTGGCTCTTTCCTGCTCTTCTGCCCCCTCCTTAACTTTTGACCCGCCAGGGGTTTTGGCTGGTCACTTAGTTTTGATTTGAAATTAAGAATACCCACTTGGAATAAGTGGAATTAGGAACACCACATCCCTTCTTCCCCCCTCATCCTAGGTATTTAGAGTTTGGGTATAATTTCTGCCCTGCTTTGGTGTGTGGCCCCTCTTTGCCTTCACACCTTCAGGCAGAACTCTCTGAGTGACCAGCTCCCTCTTCCTTGCTCAGTTGATCTAGAGCAGGGTCCCCATGAATGAGTCACACAGACAGACTTGGCTGTTAGTCAGGAGGGGCTGTGGCTTTGCTGTGACCGTGCCCCCGAGTTGGGACCTGGCTCTCCTTCTGTGCCTCCTGGGATAGAGGCTGAGGCCCTTGCGCCCTCCTGGGACAGATTCATCTTTGCCCCATGGATGTGTCCCCCTCAGGTGGTTGTTCTCAATGGCTGTGCCTCTCTCTTCTCTGCTCTGGCTACAGTGCTGTGTGAGGTGGGGGGTAAGTACATCGCCCACTCAGTACTGGAGGCTGCCCTGTGCCTGCACTGTTGCCGGCTGCCTGTCATTGAGTGCTGCGTCAGAATGCTTTTGCTAGAATAGACTGTTAGACCCTAGGGGGCCTAAATAAGTGGCTGAACAAGACACCAGGGCTTGGCAGTGCCGAGGGAAGTCAAGGTGACGCCAGGGTTCTGGGACGACCTTGGCTTTTACTTCATGCTCACAGTTGGCTGTCACATCCTCACATGACAGTGTGTCCTCAAACAGGAAGAAAGGAAGATTGTGCTTTGCCTGTCTCTTTTTTATTGGGATGGAGGAGATGGGGCTACCCTTTCCCAGGAGAGTCCCTGCAGACCTCCCGCTGCATCTTACGGGCCAGCATTGACTCAGAGACCTATTCCCAAAGCTGTCCCGGGCGAAGGGGAAGAGAACCCTGGTTGGCTTGCACCAAACTTGGTTCATCCCCCTGGGGCTGGGGAAGGCCCGCCCTCCTTGGACTTACTGCTGGTCATAGCTGAAAAACCTGGGGCTCTCTCCGCAAGGAAGCAAACTGAAGTGGCTGTTGAGTGGCCGGCCAGCAGTGCCTGCTGCGAGACCCGCTGTTGCCTCTGGAACATATCGACTATGGTCATGGGCAGGGGGTGCTGGTGGCCAGGAGTAGAGGCGCACTCACACTAACTTAACTAATAACCATAATATTAGTAACATTTATTGACCACATACTACATTTCAAGTGCCGGCCTAAGGCTTTATGCATAGTCTGTCATTTAATCTGGATGAGGTAGGTGCTATGCTACCCCATGTAACAGATGAGGAGATTAAGACCCAGGGAGCTAAGTTACTTGTCAAAATCACACAGAGAGGTAATAGCCAGGTTTTGAACCACAGAAGGAAGAGTCATTGTTTGGATTTAATAGGCAACTTCCTACCCATTCTAGAACATTCGAGAGAGGGTTCAGCAGCACTCTGTCACTGGGGTACGCAGTCTCCCCTCTTTTCTCATACAGGCCTCTCTCTGGACCTTCCTCAGCTCTGTGTGGCCCAGGGTTGCTGGCCCAGCTCTAACTCCACATGTCCTTTGCATTTCAGTGCACGTTCTCATCTCACAAGGGTCTGTGCTGCTTACAGCACAGTCTCGAGAGAGAGAGAGAACGTGGTGGGTTTCTGGCCAGCCAGTGCATGGGCTCCTGGGGTCATTGGTCTACCTTTTGTCCAATCCCTGGGGCCAGGGGAGGGAACATGTCCCACCAACGCTGTCCCTTCTGGAGCGTGAATAGGGTGGATGGTGCTGAAGGGAAAGTTGGGAAGAGAGGGCAGCTTGACGGATGTGTCCTTTTCCGAAGGAGTGCGTTTACATCTGCGTTAGCGCAGACCTGGGACTCGTCTCATCAGTACCCATCGCCTCCCCACCCACAGCAATAGTCTTCTGTATGATATACCACCCCCTTCACCTAACGTCTCAGCTTTTCTTTCCATATCCCCAGGGAGGGAGAATTCATGCCCCCTGAGGCGGCACGTTCTGTCTCTGGGCAGTTCTATGTGTTGTCGAGTTTTTCTATTTGTCCGGCCCAGACCATCACCCTGCAGCTTCGACTTGCAGACCCCAGCCTGTGCTAGGAGTGACGCAGCATGCTGAGTGCTTCCTGGGCATCTAAGCTTCGGTTTCCTCACCTGTGAAGTTAGGATAATAATAGTACTTACTCCACTGAGTGATTGTGAGGATCAAATGAGATAAACACAAATAAACATTTAGCACAGATCCCCGCACGTAGTAAGAGCTCAATAAATGTTAGCTACTAATTATTAGAAAAGAAACTGGTCTCAGTGGCTCTAAAGCTTTAGAAAGAGTTTTGGGAGTTGAGAGAGGAAGCGTGTTCCTCAGATGTTCCCCAAGGATACAGGAGGCTTGGAGAGGCTTGGGGCCAGTGGACAGGGGTCTGGGCGTTCCAGCCAGAGGGTGACAGGCCCTGGCCCACTCCTGCCCCCAGAGGCTTTCCTGATCCCTGCCCCTTACTACGGAGCCATCATGCAGCACGTGTATCTCTATGGCAACGTCCGACTGGTCTGTGTCTATCTGGACAGTGAGGTAAGAGTTCCTGGGACCCCAGGTAGAACCCGGCCTTTCTTAAAGACCAAGACTTCCCTGCATCTGGATTGGAGGGTGGATGAGAGAGGTAGTCCACGCTGAGGGCTCTGGGGGTTATGGCTGAAAGGAGACTGGAGCCTTCTGTTGGCCACAGCTGCACTTGCCTGGGTTCTCTGGGGGCTCTTGACCTTCCATCTCTGAGATTCCTAGGGTCAATGCAGAAGCCAAGGGCAGCCCAGGGAGACCACACTGAAATGGTGGGGTGAGAGTGGGTTAGAGCAGACCCTGGACCCCAGTTGGAGGACTTCAGGAGGCTCTTCCTAAAACCTAAGAACAATGAGGGTTTCCCTGCTGTGATGGGGTGGGTGGCAGTGAGAGGGAGTGACCCCACCTGTGTTTTTCAGAGACTGTTCTAAAGGAGATGGCAGGGGGAGGAGAGGCCCCAGAGTTTGGGTCTGGTTGGGAGTGGTCACTGAATTTGGCTGCTGGCTTTTGTGGATCTTTTTCCAGGTCACTGGGTTGGAGACACACCCGTTCCAGCTCACAGTGGAGAAGCTGGAGATGGCCCTGCAAGGAGCTATTTCTGAGGTCTGGGGATCAAATTAAACCAAAGGCTGGAAGTGGGTGGGTCCGAGCGGGGCATGGACCCCACTTCCTGTGGCTGATCCCCTCCCAGTGGGGTTGGCAGTCTGTGATGGGGACGGGGGGTAGGGTGGTAGCATGGAACCATTCTGGGGTCAAGCAGGAGTCCGCTCATGGAGGGTCTTCTCTCTAGAGACAGACTCTGAGACTCCCAGGGTACAAAGACTCAACCAGGGAGCTTGATTAAAAATACTGCTCCCCACTTTGCCTGGTTCTCATTCAGCCAGTCGAGTGTAGAGCTTAGAAGCCTGTGTTTCAGCAGTCTCTCTGGTGATTTGAGGAGGTGGTCCCCTCCCTTTGAGGGGATCTGAGGCCTCCTGAAGAAAGGCAGAGACCAGCAGCCCTCCAGCAGTTCCTTCCCAGTCCACTTTTCAAAAATCTATTAATCCAATTTTCTTTTTCACCTTGGTCATAAAAGCCACACATACCCATTGTGGAAATTTTAAAAGCATAATCCCCACCCACAATCGTACCAACAAAGGCAACCTCTACTGGCGTTTGGGCGTATTTCCCCCTGTGCTTTGTTCTCTGCATTTGTTTTCTTTCTTGCTGGGTGGTGAACACATTTCCCTGGGACCCTGCCTGGCGCCCATCCCATCCCATGGGACCGTGTGGCTCTGGCCTTCGGGAGGAGCTGAGGGTCTCCTGCCTCACTGATGGTTTCAGGGTGTGAAGGTCAAAGGCCTCATCCTCATCAACCCTCAGAATCCTCTGGGTGACATCTACTCCCCAGGAGAGCTGCGGGAGTACCTGGAATTTGCCAAGAGGTGAGGCGCCCCACACTCACCCCGCAAAATGTGTGACTGATCAGGGTTCTGGTGTGGGCTTTGGGGGGGTCCTGCCACCTCTTCACCCCATGTGAATTTCTACCTGCTTTGGCTCCTCCGGGCAGTGGGGTGGGGAGGTGGGGGTTAGGGGGTGCTGGTTCTCTCTCTCTGTTTATAACAGCGGCTGTCAGTTACTGCCAGCTCTGGGGGCCAGGCCCCCTGCTGAGCACCCTGCCTGCTCCATCTCATGTAATCCTCCCAGGGACCCTTTTAGGTGCCGAGACTGTCATCATCCTCAGTGTACTGAGCCTAGAGTGAGGCAGACGTGAACCTGGGTCTGTCTGTACTCACCTGTCTTGCACTTAACTGTGCCCCTCCATGAAGGTGCCCGAGGACACTGTCACCCCCCTCCCGGTGCTTCAAAAGCCCCACTATCTTCTGCTTTGTCTGTGCGGCTTCTTGTTTGTTTGAAGAAAGTAAACAAAATAAGGGTGTTCCTGAAAAATAAGTTTGGTAACCCTGGGCTAGACAGTGGTCCTGGATCTGATTCACTGCTGTCCCACCCCAGGGGGATGCATTTGGCCTGCAAACCAAGCTCTCTCCTCCCCACCACCTGCCCTCCAGGCATGCGCTGCACGTGATGGTGGATGAGGTCTACATGCTGTCCGTGTTTGAGGAGTCAGTTGGGTACCGCAGTGTCCTGAGCCTGGAAGGGTGAGCTGACTGCCAGCCCCCTGGGTCCCCTGTGGTGCCCAGGCCCCTCTGAGGCTCAGCCCACAGGGCATGGCTTGCCCCAGGGTGATTCCTCTTCTGTCCAGCTGATCCCACTGTCCTCAGATCCCTTGAGGAGAAGATGGGAGGCTGGGCTAGTTCCGTGGGATTTCAGAGAGCTCCGGGGAGGGGGCTTGGGATTTCTTGAGGGAGGGCTGCGAGGAGAGGAAACGGGCCTCCTTTGCTGTTCCTTCATCTCCAGAGTAGCTCCATTTCCATTCATTCATTCATTTACTCATTCATTCAGCAAATATTTCTGGGGCTCCCTGCACGTGCCAAGCCCTTTTGGCTATTTGAGCTTTTTCATTAGATTTAGTTTGAGCCAAGACGGTGTGGCCAAAACACCGTCAGGGACACTTGGACCGGATCACCAGTAAAGCCTACACCTCTGGCATTCAGGGATGCTGACAGTTCATGATACTCTGACCTTTCAGCCTGCCGAGTCCTTCCCTTGGTTCCTCCAGCCAGTCCCCACAAAGCTCTGCCAGGTGGATGGCATGCGGGTTGTTACTCCCATTCGCTTATGGATTAGGAGAGAGAGACACAGAGAAACAGGAACTTGTCATCTACTCTGGGTCAGACGCTGTGCTGTACTGGGGCTACATCAGTGAACAAGAAAGACACAGGCCCTTCTTAGGTGGAACTTGTATTTCTAGCCAGGAAGGAAAAAAAAACCATTTAAGCAGCTAGGTAGACAGCTAGTCATTTGATTATGGCCAGATAGATGCTAAAAAGGAGACAGCTGGGAGCCAGGAAAGGCTCTGCTTGGGGTCCCTGATTGACCTGGTCAACTAGGTTGTGGCCAGGAGACCTGTTTGAGGAAGTGACATTTGAACTATGCTCTACATCATGGATCAGCAAGTATTTTTGGACCAGATGGCAAATATCTTAGGCTTTACGGGTCATAGGGTCGCTTACTCAACTCTGCTGTGATAGCGTGAAGTCCGCCCGGGACAGTAGGTACATGGAGGAGCATGCTGTGCTCCCATAGAGCTTTATTTATGAGAACGGGCAGCGGGCTGGATTTGGGCTGCAGGCTGTAGTTTGCTGACCCCTGATCTAAAGGATGTGTGGGAACTGGTGATTCAAGAGATGAAACCAGCTTCATCCATCCATCTCCTTATTTGTTGAACCAAACCTGTGAGCTCCCGCTGTTCTGTGTTGCCTCTCGTCCCACGCTGTGCTCTCTGCAGGCTGCCCGACCCCCAGAGGACCCATGTGATGTGGGCAACCAGCAAGGTGGGTTCCTGGCTGGCCTTCAGGGTGTCAGAGAGGTGGGAGGGCAGAGAGGTGGGTGGAACCGGCTTCCTCCTTGAGGGCTGGCCACCTCCCAGGGTGCCTTTCTCCTGCAGGACTTTGGGATGTCTGGGCTCCGCTTCGGCACGCTGTACACAGAAAACCAGGACGTGGCCACTGCGGTGGCCTCCCTCTGCCGCTATCACGGCCTCAGTGGCTTTGTTCAGTACCAGATGGCACAGCTGCTCCGGGACCGTGGTGACTGCCAGGGTGGGGGAGGGTTGTAGTCAGTCTGGGACTGGCCAGGGATCATGGATGCTTTTCCCATGAGATGAATTTAGGGTTATGTTTGAGAGTGCTAGCTCTGGGCCCAGAGGGGGTTCATACCCCACTCAGTCAGTTCCTGACTATGTGGCCTATTCCTTTACTTCCCTGAGCCTCAGTTTCCTCATCTGCAAAATAGGGGTCTTAATGGCACCTGTCTTGTAGGGTTAGTGTGATTTGTCATTCAGTTAGAATAGCACCTGGCATATAATAGGCACTTAATCACTGTGAACTCATTACTGTTAGCTGTGAGCACTTGAAAAGGAGTATAAGCTACTAAGGGAAGATTGTTATACTGGAAGTGTCTCTCTATGCATATCTGTTCTGTTCCTGTGTTCAGATAGTGAGTTTAGATAGCAAAGATTACCTGTAATTGCACCATTCATTGAGCCCTACAAGACGCTCTCAATGCTCTTCTCATTTGTCTCTTCTCAGAATCCTAGGAAGCAGGTGTCCCTATATTTTCCCCCATTAGATGAATAAAATGAAGACCAGGTACTACAAACCTGCTATCACAGCTAAATTTAAAAAGATAGTGATAGCATCAAATGTTGGTTAGGAGCAGCTGGAACTCTCAACACTGCTGGTAGGAATGGAAGATGGAACAGCCACTAAACAATTTGGCAGTTGCTTATAAAGTTAAACACACACTTACCAAATAGCCCACAATCCCACGCCTGGGTATTTGCTCTTATGGTCACACAAATCCTCTCCATGAATGTTTATAGCTGCTTTATTCATAATCACCCCAAACTGGAAACAACCAAAATGTCCTTACACAGATGAATGGAGAAACAAACTGTGGTTCATCCCCACAGTGGAATACCACTCTGCAATAAAGTCCACGGGAACACGTCTATCTCAGAGGCATCCTGCTGAGTGAAAGAAGCCAGCCTCAAAAGATTACATTACTGAATGATTCCGCTTATATGACATTCTGGAAAAGGCAAAACTACAGTGATGGACAACAGGCTAGTGGTTGTAGGGAAGGGGAAGATGTGACTTTAAACAGCACAAGGTGTTCTCTGGGGTGAGGGAAGCGGTCAGTATCCCTGTCGTGGGGGGTTCCAGGAATCTATACATGTGTTAAAATTCATCGAACTGGACAGTGAAAACAAAGGTCAATTTAAAAAATGGGGATCAGGGAGCTAAGTTACCTAAGGTCACACACCTTATCAGTGGCCACCCTGGGATCTGAGACTCAGCCGGTGTGACTCGTAAGTGTCACTCTGTAAGTGGGTTTGCCTTTGGTTAGGGTCTGCATCCTGCTCCACGCTGAATATCCCCATTGCCCCCAGTCAGCTATAGGAGGGGCTCACCCAGTCCTGGCAGCTCGTGGCCTTTTTCTTTTCAGCATTTAGACTCTCGGGACAGAGTGGAGGGTTGGTGGGAGATTTATCTTTTGGCTTTCCTTTCACCCACACAGACTGGATCAACCAAGTGTACCTGCCAGAAAACCACGCCCGGCTCAAGGCCGCCCACACCTATGTCTCTAAAGAGCTCCGGGCCCTGGGGGTCCCCTTCCTGAGCCGTGGGGCCGGCTTCTTCATCTGGGTCGACTTGAGGAAGGTAACACAGGTGGTGATGCAGGTGGGGAGGTGGTTAAAGTTCCCTCCAGCAGGCGAGGGGGAGGGGCATCTCACCTGCACCCTGGGCTCTTACCCCCCTTAGTTCCTGCCGGAGGCCACCTTTGAGGAGGAGAGGCTGCTCTGGTGCCGCTTTTTGGAGAACAAGGTGCTGCTGTCCTTTGGCAAAGCCTTCGAGTGCAAAGAGCCTGGCTGGTTCCGCTTGGTCTTCTCCGATAAGGCCCACCGGCTTCGCCTGGGTGAGCGGTCTCACCTACTAACTGTGTCCCTCATTCTGACCTCCCCCTCTGGCTCCACCTGTGGCCCCAGTGTGCTCGTCCCCAGCCATCCGCCATCAGTGCTGATGGGCCCTCACTTCCCCTTCCCAGGGATGCAGAGGATCCGGCAGGTGCTTGAGGGCGAATCCCAGGTGGCAGAGGACCCCCCTTCCTGCCAGACCCAGGAGCCCAGGGGCTCGCACAGGTGAGCTGGTTGTTGCCTCGTGGCTGCAGGGCCTGGCAGCCACTGTGAAGACTGATGGTGGATGAGCCGTTTGCCAGGCTGATGACCCTTCTTGGCCTTGCCTTTGAAGAAGAACTGCTCCTGGCCTCTCCTGGTGGCAGTATGAGATACTCCTTAAGTTGTGGTTCCACCTGGCCCACCCCTCCCCCTGCCCAACTATTAAACTAAACTGGGAGAAACTGGAAGGCTCTGCTGTGAGTCATTTATGGAATAGAGGAGTCGTGACTGCGCTGAACCACAGCCCCCAGGGACGTGGAAACAAACAACCTGTACCTTCTTTTGATGGCACCTTCGTTCTTCTTTGTTGCCAGGGAAACACATCAAAGGAACAATATGCGTAAGACAGAGTTGCCCCCAAAGGAAAAAGGAGTGATAATTTCTAAAGTACAAGGAGAAAGGATTTAATTTTATGTGTTTATGGTTATTCTCCCCACACATAGGATATGTGGGCCCACAGTGCACCTGGGACCTGGGACCTGGGACCTGGGACCGGCCTGCACTTGGGACGAGGTGATCAGGACCCCGGCGGGAGGCAGGAGGGCCATCTCTGTCTTGGGGATGCTCTGCTCCTGGGAAGGCGCTGCCTTCACTGCTGATCCCGAACCAGAGTGACCTAGCCATGACTGTCGGGGGAGATAACGGGGCCCTGAACCAGACTGTGGGGACAAGCTGACCCAGGCTGGCCTTTCACCCTAAGCATGAAGGGCCACTCACCCCTTCCCCAGGGGTGCTTTAGTTCAGAGTTCAAATGAGCTTTCTGAACCGACCTTAAAGCTATGTGCCGAGGACGCTTCTCTGGTGCCGACACTCCTGTTTGGAAAAACTCGCTCTTTCCTTACTCTTTTAAGAGCATGTCAGTGGAATCTGTTTACTTTCTAAACACATATGGTTTAGGATTGGTTTTTCTCTTTCTTTCTGCCTTTCTTTCATTCATTCCTCTCCCCTGCCTTTCTTGAATACCTTATAGGTGCCCGACACTGTGCTGGGCAACTGACGTGAGTCATTTCTAACTCTCACCACCCTAGGAAGCTGACAGTATTATCCCTCATTTTCTTGATGAGCAAACTGAGCCTCAGATAAATGGAATGATGTTCCCAAAGGAACACACCTCAAAAGTATGAGAGCCAGGCTTCAAAGCCAGGTTGGTCTGGTTCAAAATCCTGAGCTCTTTGCACTCTGCCAAACCAGGTCCCAAAAGGTTCTTTGACTTTTCCAGTTCTGAGAACCAGGCTTCGTGTTGTCATTGTCTCACTCTTAAATACTTTCCAGTGTCATTGGCTAAGTAGCACTCGTTCCTCTCCCACTTCCAGGAAATGCTGGTGCTAAGATTTGTTTTACTGGAATATCTGCGGCTTTTACAGAGGGTCAGAATACAGAAAATAGAACGGCCACGTTGAAAGCCCTCTGCATCCTCTCCAGAGACCTTTGAAAGGACGTTGCCCCTGAAAGGACTCATGTGATGAATTCCATTTAGAATTCTCAGAAGAATGACTCCTAGTTCTTCCTTAGAGGGAATCCAAGCTGGCTTCCCAGCAGAGGCTGATTGGGACCAGGAATCTGGGCCTGAACTGAGGCCATCTGTTTGGGGAGAGCTGGCTTGTGCTCTGCTGAATGGATGTGCGCCATGTGGCTCCCTTTCTGGAGCACGGACTAGACGTATCTTATGCCTGTCCACATCTTCCCCGCTCTCCTTTCTGCTCTGCCCATCACTGCAGCCAGCCAGCTGTGTGTGCGTGGAGCCTGACGGAGGAACCCTAAGGGAGTTAACACTTCCGGGTGATGCTTCAGCAATGGGGGAGGGGAACCAGTGAGAAAGTATCTCTCTTCTCCGTGCATGTGGACACTGTCTCAGTAGACAGCCCTGACATCCTGCACGGCTCCTCAAAGAGACCCTAACAGGACTGAGCTGCAGGGGTGCACAGGAGTAGCCGGCCCTACAGCACACCCCTGGGTTGCCCTCTCTTTTCTCCAGGTTTACTCGTTCCAATCTTCTCACCTTTCCCTAAGGCTGCTTCTCAGAGTGACTACCTGCACTCAGGTCTTTCTCTCTCTGGCAACCAAGCGAGACAGAGTATAAATGATTGGTAAACAACACCCACCATGTATTTGTTCTCTGAATTCAAGCTATTTTTCCCAACAACCCTGAGACGCAGGTCTAGGTTTGCGTACCAAAGTGATTGGATGCTTACCTAATGATTTCTGTGAATCCTTGCAAGAATCTTCAATTATAAGGAAAAATGTTTTACATAGAAAAATATTTCTTGTTTTTCTATCAATGAGAAGACTTTCTTGTTTACAAATGACCCCAAATGGTAGAAATAGCTGTATTTAAAGCAAAGGGGGCAGTTATCCATTGAACATAACCAGGAGTGGGAAGGATAGATGTTCCAAGCACGGCTCTGACCTGGAGTTCAAATGATGCCATCTGATTTTGTGCCCTCTCTTATTTCCTCTCTGTGGCTTCATTTTCAAACATGCTCCGTTTAGGTGGTGGCAAGATGGCTTCCAGACAGCTCCAAGTTACGGGGCGCTTGCAGCAGAACCTGTAGGGTATTAGCGGGATAAACACCCTTTCTTCTCTAGCGTTCATGTCTCTCCTCCCATAGGAGGCCAGCTGGCCTTAATCATCTGTCCACCCATGGGAACCCAGGTTCCATCCATCTGTCACTTTGCCATCCCTAGTATGTTGGCTTTTCCCCTTCAAGCCTTTTCCCTCATGGTCTCAGTATGGCTACAGAAGGTCCAAACATCACCTTCCCACAACCACTTCCAGAGACAGAAAAGAGAATATGTTTTTCTGTTGCTTCCTTTTCATTTTATTTCATTCATTTATTCACGCATTCATTTAAAAAAATACTTGTTAAGCCTAAGATTTGTAGGAGTTCTTTATATATCTAGAAATGAGTATTTATTTTGCCAGATACTCTTAATATATTAACATTCATACATTATCAGTTTCTTTATCCTCCTCCTGAACATGGAAATGAGCCTAGAACATTAAACTCTTGCTCCTTTGTTTTCCTTTCCTGTGGCCAGTATTGTAGTTAATGCCTGCCTCTTCTTTTGTTGTTGTTTTTCTCTTCTTTTTCTCTCTCCTCTGGAAATTGTGCTTGGAAAAGTCATGACAACCCCAGTTTGGGTGAAGACCTGCTCAAATAGAACTTACAGCCCTGATGCGAACATTTCTAATAACATTTCTAAGGTTACATGACTCTCAATAGGATATTTAATGTTTGACAGCATGTTTTCTCAGACTTCATCACCCTAAAGTCAAAATATAGGGCATTTGTTTTCACCTAAAGAGTCTGAAAAAGAATTCATTAGAAACGGAGAATAGTAGTTGTCCATGGGGTACGGAAACTGGGAGGACGGGAAACAAGGACGAGTGAGAATTTTTACTGTTTCTTTCGCTTTTTTTGTTTCCCTGGGTTTTTAATGCTTTTTGTTTTTTAAACCACATAAATGTCACACATAGTTAAAAAAACTGAATTAAAAAAAATCTATTTAGGGAAAGTCCCTAGGAGAGTTACAAATACCATCCAGGTCTTGTACTCGTCTCAGACATCTTTTGAGCTTCTGCTAAAACATTGTATTCTATTAATTTTAAAAACTGAGATCAAGTTTAACTACAGTGAATTGGATAGTTCTTTTTTTTTTAAATTGAAGTATAGTTGATTTACAGTGTTGTGTTTCTCATGTACAGCATAGTGATTCAGTTATACAAATATATTCTTTTTCATTATAGGTTATTACAAACTATTGAATATAGTTCCCTGTGCTATACAGTAGGACCTTGTTGTTTATTTTGTATATATGTAATTTATATCTGCTAATCCCAAACTCCTAATTTATCCCTCCCCCCACCACCTTCGCCTTTGGTAACCATAAGTTTGTTTTCTATGTCTGTGTGTCTGTTTCTGTTTTGTAAATAATTCTCTTTGTGTCATTTTTTTAGATGAATTGGACAGATCTTAATTTTAAGATTCAATGGCTTTGACAAGTATGTACATCCGTGTAACCAATACCCCATCAAGGTGGAGAACACTTCCATTACTGCAGAAAGTTCCTTCAAGCTCCTGTTCAAGTCTCTCATGCCCTACAGGCAACCGCTGTTCTCATTTCTAGCTCCACACATAAAATTTCCCAGTGAAAAGAACCATATCGTTGTTCACTTTTGTGTCTGGGCTATTTTGTTCAGCTTAATGTTTCGAGGTTCATTTACTTTGTTGTATGTATCAGTAGTTCCTCCTTTTCTTTTTTTCCTCTATGTAGTAATAGCCCTCCTTTCCCTCCTGATATTGGTAACTTTTGCCCTCTCTGCTTCTCTTTGTGGGGATGAATGCCCAGTTTTTAGTCACCAAATTTATTTTTATTTTTATAGTTTTATACAGTCAGTCTTTGTTTTGCTTTACCCACGAGTGTGTCAATTTCATTAGTTCTTTACTTCATCTCAGTACTTTCTTCTGGTTTTAATATTCTTTTCCCTCAAATACATCATTTAAGAAATTCTGTTAGGAAGGGTTTATAGGTGGTAAATTCCTTCTATTAATGTTTGTCTGAAACTATGTTTCTTTTTCCTTATTCTTGAGAGATGGTTTCACTAGCTATACAATTGTACAGTAACTGCTAGCTTCTCCTGGCACTTCTACCATTATCTTATGACTTCTGTTTTTTGTTTTAGTTGAGAAGTCTGCTCTTAGTTTTATTGTCCATTCATTACAGGTGATCGTCTCTGTCCAGTAATGGAAAATTCTTAGCGACTGTCTCCTTGGATACTGCTTCTCTGCATTTTCTCTGTCCCCTCCTTCTGGATATATGCTGGGGTTTCTTCCTTTATGCTCCCTCTCTTTCACTTTCCCGGTACTATATTCTATTTCCTTGTTTCCTCTTGAATTTCCATTCTGGGTAATTTATTCAGATCTATATCTCAGTTTATTAATTGTGTCTAATCTATGGTTTAAGTTGTGCATTGAGTTTTTAATCTCAATTTTTTATATGCAGTACCTTTTCAATCTCCTTGGTCTTTTGGGAAAAAAATCATCTTATTTCTTTCTAATGTTCACAGTTCCATCTTTGACGTCTTTGAGCACCATAAACACTTGTTTTATACCTATTTCTCGTAGTCTAATTATGTGTGGTTCTGTAGGTTCTATTTCTGCTGTTTGAAGTTTCTGATGACTGGTTT